GATGGGGCTGGGAAGTGCTGTACCATCCACCATGCTCCCCGGACTTAAGGCCCTGTGACTTTGACTTGATTCGTAAGATGAAGGAACCACTTCATGGCATTTGCTTCAGAACTGTTCCAGAGATTCTTCAGGCAGTAGACCACTCCATTCAAACTATCAACACTACAGGCGCTGCTAAAGGTATCGTATGACTTCCACATCGCTGGCAAGGGGTCGTACACAATGCTGGTGACTACATTGTAGGACAGTAAAACTTCAAAACATGCATCTATTTTGTATCAGTTGTAAATAAATAGTTGCCACTATTAAAGTTCCAACCCTCATACAATCTTGTTATGTGGAAGTGACACTAGTGCAACTTAATAATTCGAACTGAAATTATGCACAGTAATAGAACAGAGGTAAAACTGTTCTTGTGGAGTGAGAGTAACTGCTCCAGCATTTCTAGCCTCAGCAATTCATGTAGGTGAGTGGTCAGCTCCAGTCAATTTATTCCTGAGGAAAGAGTATCCATTCAATAGTAGGCCGAGTAGGTCCTAGAGCTAGGATGAACATGATAAGAAAGAGAAAAATCCCAGCCAGAAATCAAACTTCAAATCACCCAGTCTGTACTCATACTCTCACAAAAATTGTTTCACTTATCCACATTACATTACTGATATATTAAAGCAAGTTAATGTATATGTTTTCTTGTGCTCACAGAGCATGTAGTTATCTCACTGTTTCACAGATGTCGTTAGCATGAGCAGAACTGTTTGCAGAATTTTGTAACAAAAGCCTCAAGAGGGTTTCAACATTCAGCAAGACAAGGCAAATTAAAACCAGTCACAGTCAAGATGTAAAATAATGAATATACTGCTGTTGTTATTGGAATGGTTGTTATCAGTAACTGCTAGAAGTAAAAAAGAATATTCTGGTGTATCCTATCAATCAAAGAGGAGTTCAGATAGTGTTATTCCATCATTCTTGTGGAAAATTAAACAATATTAAAACAAACTCCATTACACTATGACTTCAAGCACTTTTATTTACTGGAATTAGTCAAAGAGTTCTTCAGGAAAAGAGATATGAATTTTTGAAGCCACATTGCACCAAAGGCAAAGATGGTAATCACTTTAACATAATCATCTGTTTAAATGCAGAAATGTGTTCATATATCATACTGTGATTTATTCACATAACACTGCATGATGAAAGAGACCTTATACACACTATAGTACAAGAAATATAAATTTACCAGAATAAAAATGGTTTAAATTGAAAATAAAAGGAACAAAGAACATATCTGTGACATTTTTGCTAATCAACATATATGTTTTACTTCACATCAGAAATGTAATAAGTATGTCCACCAACATAGATATTACTAAAAAATAAGAGACTTGAAAATGGTATAAAAACTGCAACTGCTGAATTCTTCAGGTCACTTCATTACAGACATGACTAGATGCACTGCCCACTGAAGTAGTTTAAGAAACTTAAAAGGCCATTTGGGATATCCTATCTTACATATATATGCCAACATCTAGTATTAACCACTGGAATAAGGTTACAAAACATTGTGAGAATCTGTGATGGCCTAAACGCTATATATGGCACACATGTTGTGACGTGCAACCTGAAAGCTGCAACCTGTCCATCTGCTGGAAGGGCTTCGCGGAGCACATTCCCATGATAACACAAAATATGCTGTTACTCTAAGTTTTAATGAACTATTGAAGACATATCCATGGTAATGACTTCTAGACAGATATTTCCTGCAAAACAAAGGTGTCGTTTTTGTGACAACAGACAGATGAATGTTTGACTCAAGTGCCCCCTATTCAGTACGCCAAGCAAATATAGAGTAGCAGCAGCAAAGGCAGAGGAAAGCAGAACTAAGCAGAGCTACTTACCTATTTAATCATCAGTCAGTTTGTGAAACCTTCATGAAACTCTACTTTAATGTTCAAAGTTTTAAAACAGTTGATATACTTACAGCACAAAAAACTATGACTGGAAATAAACCATTTATTACATCATGTACTTCTCTTTTCCACAAACACACAATGACTTGAAAACTGATCTTGTCAGTTTAATACATTTTACACATCTTGCTTTAGAACTAACATATTGTTACTTGCTGCAATAGTCTAGTTCAAGACACCGTGAATTTACCTACCTACTGCTTAACTGTCCCATCATGTCATGTGACAAAGTGATTACTGAAGGTGTAGACTTCCATCAAAATCATATACCAGAACCTAACATTCTCATTAGTAACACCACTCTGAAGTGTGACTGTCATGAACAAGGTGAATTACTGCAAATAACTAATATTACCACAATAAAAATATTTTCTTTACAGTAAAGTTACACTTACTCAATGTATTGATTCTCAGTTTACTTAAAGCCTTTCACAAAAACTCCTGTTACAAAATGCTAGCTGTGATGATTGTGTGACAAACTGGGTAATATCTGGAAATGATCAGCACCCATTTAAGCTACTATCCCAGCATATGCCTAGGGGAACTAAGGCCAACCATAGACAACTTAATCTGGACAACCAACCTCCAGGCTAGAATCTACTTTGGGACTGTTGGAACATGAAACAGGAGAGTCAATCACACAACTGCAACAACTACATAACCACTATAAATGTCATAAATTCAGTTGGAAATAATTTGGAGCCCTATCCAAGAACTGTCCTGGTGGGACTGAGGAAAACCATAATACCCTCAATTACAACAGCTGGTCTATGGGCCAAGATTTGATCTTGGAACATTCTCAATGTGAAGCAGAAGTGGTACCCACTCAATCATGATGTTTAGTCATAAGCAGTTCAGAAAGAATTATTTTACAAGCAAGCAAACAAAAACAATTAACATAATCTTTACACCTCCCTCTTAGACTTTTAATTGGCCAGTTTCCAAAATGTTTCCCCACCAAAATTCTGTATCGTATCTTTCACTTCAATTATTTACAGACAGGACACTTCATAAACATGTAACATAGAGAATACTAAATATAAGGTAAAATTGTCCCTGTGCTTAACTAAGCACTATGCCATGATGGTATATGGGGGAGTGAATGTATACGTCCACATTTTCTTGACCTCAGCACTAGTTGGAGGTGAGTGGTCAGCTTCACACCCTGGCTGCTTTACTCCTGGGAAAGTGCTCCCGGTACCCACTGTATAGGAGGTTGGGCAGACCCCAAAGCCGGACTGAATGACATGGAGAAATGAAAATTCTTCACTCTACCAGGACTCGAACTCCGACCTCTTGGTCGTCCAGCCCATAGCCAGTCACTATACCAACTGCACTAGCCTGGCTCCTAGAATATTAAATGTACTTTAATTTAATAAATCAATCAAAATATATACTGTGCAGCACTCACTACAATACAATGCACTTGTAATGTAGCAATTCCTTTATGAGGTCTGATAATATTATTAACCCCTTGATGTCCTACTTCATTTTGTCTACTCCAAATGCCTACAGAAAATAATTAAAAAAAAAATAGGTGTCCAAAATCTACTATTAAACTTCTGTATATGTATATTACATTTGTCATCCCTCTGGTAAATTAATTGTTTTTATTTATGTAAGTTCTCATGGTTCATTTAACAGTGGTTTCAGTAGTGGTGTTTCTGATCTCACCTAATAAATTATCATTAGCACACACCTCAAAACATGCAAAATGAGGGCCAACTTCAAGTATTTTCTGGTTGGAAACTCATAAACATAAAAAGAATTAATACCATCTGCTACAACATTTCTTACAACTCAATAACTGAATCCAAATCTACAATACCCTACATCTCAGCACAATTCAGTTGTCACTCAAGAGTTCAATTTTCACATGTAAGCCATTTAGATCACACACATATTTATAAAGTTATTATCGATAATTCTGTCGCAAAGAGGGTTTTCTTCTTCATGTCATATCCCTCAATTATTATGTGATATGTGCTTCTGCTTGTGAAGGTTCTTCCACATATGTAGAGAGATTTCAGTAACAATTCCCACTGGCAGTCCTGTTATGTCCACATGTTCATATGCTAAATTCATATATGACAAATAGGAATTTAATAGATACCAAGGGGCTATTATAACGTTGCTAAAAGAAACTGAAGTAACAGTCTTGCCACTAACCCTGTGTCTCATTGTACTTTATCCTAGAACCTGTAATGCTGGGTTCATTATTCTATTTCATAAGTTTATGTTTTCAGCATGATCTAAATGATAGTATACAACTACCTACCATCCTGGCACACTTCTTTATCTACAAGGTAGGCTTGGTTACCAAATAAGAATGCTGATTCATAATCATGACATAAGTAACAATGACTCATTCAGTCATGGCTCCCCTCCACAAAATAATACGACTGCACAGCTGTCATCTGACCTATTTACACACTAGCCGTTGCTCTTATGTTATTTAAAATCTGAACTTTCGGCCTGACGGCACAGTTCATGGCACATAACTTACCTACTGATGTTATCAACTTAAACTAATTCCATTCTTACATTCTTACATCATATTCGGCATTCTACACTTTAACCTGAATGAGGGAAAAATCTGGTCGCTTCTTATATAAAATCCCTAATTTGTGAATCCACACAAATACGACTCATATTTTTGCACCGGATTAATTTGCACTATGTGTAGACATGATGAGTAAAAGGGTATAATATAGGTGCTTTAATAGAAGGATGAGAAGGCGAGACTCATAAGGTGGAAATGACAGCCACAGATAGTTAACTATCATCGAATAAAATCTCCAAGACAAAAAAAACTACGTAATTACAAAATATAATATTTATATTACACTGCAACTTGGGGAGCATCACAAGAATTAGTCCTCTTGGAATCCCAGAACATAAAATTCAACATATGATACACGTTGCCACCACCGGTTTATTCAAAGAATTTTGAATACTAAGAAAAATAAATCATTTCATAATGGCAACAGTGAACACAAACAAATAGATCATACAAAAATTTTACTCACGTACCTTAAAAGATAGTAGTCTATCTCTTACTCCAAATTATTGTCACTCATAACACCACGAACTGTACCTATCGGCACCTATCAACGGGGCGTTTGCAGGAAGTACAGCTGAATTCAAATGTAACACATTCAATCAATAACACATTACACCTAAATAAATGATTACAATATGTAACTAAACAAACTAAAATAATTCTGGTATTTAAGTTATATTATCCGCAATTAAATCACATTTATAGCAAATCGTGTACATGCACTTGAACTATTACGTCGTACTCCATGTTGTACGCTGCTCGCATACTCGATACATCGATATGGACATCAACAACCGCACCAATTGTTTTTTTTTTAAATTCTAATTGGAGCGGGCCTCAGTCCACTCGGTACTGCGGCCACTATTGGATCTATTGTGCCGGCCCGAATTGATATATGATGGTGATTATGGGGCAATTGGCGGAATGAAGATTGGCAGGAAACCCCAAGTACTTGGAGAAAACCTGCCCAGGGACACTTTATCCACCACAAATCCCAAATGGCCTGAACCGGTCTCGAAACCGGACCGCCTAGGTGGGAAGCCAGCGACCCAGAGACTAACTGCCTGAGGTACGCCGTGGTCAGTCAAAATATTTAGTCAACGACAATCACACTGCAGAGATGTTTTCAGTGCTACAGTCTTCTAGGGACTGCAGTACACTGCTTACCAATTCCTGACAGCAGGGGTGGTCAAGCATCTTCATCTTGTACTGCGTTTATTTACTGACATTCTCAACGCATATATTGTTACAGATCAGGGGGCCACAAAATGATGTAGGATGCATAACAATAAATCATCACAAAACAAATATGTATTTCAAATTTTACATATGAGAATATTGGTTGCATTCCCATCAGTAGTTTGTATCATGAAAAAATGGACACTTTTCTTTAAGTCTGTTATTTAACAATGCTGTTGGCACTGCGCGAAATATTTAAAAAAATATTTTATAACAAGCAATATCAAATTAAAACCAAATTTTAGAAACCACTCACATCACATTTGTTGGTAATGAAAAATTAGTAACATACAGTAAAACTTGGTTATAGCAACATCGGTTTCTGCGACACCTTGTCTATTGCGTCAAATATTCAATGGTATGAACTAATTCCTCATAAAGCAACTGTTTTTATACCTTGCTTAGTACGACATGCACAAATGCATCAACCTCGCATGTAACGTCATTTTCATTCCTCAGTTTCTCTGATATGGACATTGAACGTAATTTAGAAAGTGTATATTGGGAAAGTAACAGGAAACAAATGAAGATAACTGATTACTGTACTCGTATCTAGGTACAGCAAGACACAACAATTGATGTAATCTACTGTAATTTGGTGAGTGAGCCTACCTTTAATATACAGTATTAGTGCGGTATCTATTGTCAGTGAAAAGCGGTGTAATATGTCTTTGATATTACACATTTGGGCAATTCCACGTTAATGTTACGTTAGTCTGTACTTAACTACGTATTTCACTAAAAAATGCAACATTTTAACTCGGTTTTTGGTAGATTTTTACGTGACTAACATAAGGCTACTGTGGAAGTGCCCATTTCGATTACAACGACATTCGTTTATAACGACACTATTTTTAGGTCCCTTTGATGATGTTATAACCAAGTTCTACTGTATTTTCTATTAAAAAACATGTCAAAGAGAAACCAAATTATAGATGCAATGCCATGGGATCAGGGTCCAATTCTGAATAGGGGCCAGGTACTTTTCTCTTTATCACAGAGTCTAGAGAAGCTGTGGGGCCAACCCACATGGTACCAATGGGTACCAAGGGTTCCTCCATATAGTATGTATCAAAACATGGTATATACTATGAAGTTTATTGTCTGAATCAGACATCCATCAAGAATTATATATTTTAAAACTGAATCCAACTACTATGGGCTGGGCATTATGATGCAGTGTTTACTCCCATAGTAATTTTCTGAAACATTGGAATCTAGCACTAAAACAATTTTAACTGAAAGTCAGAGAAATGCAACAAGACTCTGAAAATTTCAATTTTGTCTTCTAGCTTTCCACTCTATAAATTCAGCATGTAAATGTTTCAGCCAAAAAGACCAGATCTTGCTACAGCAGCGCAACCCTTAAAGGCATGTATGGAGAAACTTTGCAATCAGAAACCAATCTGAAGACCTGAAGAAAGAAGCATCAGTCATAATGAGGGGCTGAATGGTTCACCCTGAATGAGACAAAACTCAGAACTGTAAAGTTATATTTTGACGAACTTCATGAATATTCAGAAAGTTTGTTTTAGGCGAATATTTTTAACGTACTTTGGATATCGTAACAAATCAGTTAATCTCCTGCGTCAGTAGTCTTCATGATGATGCTACAAGCTTCTCTCTGTTGCATCCCACCTTTCTACATATTTCAAAATCACAGTTGCTTGAAGATGCTAAGACATTTGACATAAACATAAGATGTATTATCAGAATCATTCACTAACAAGATTCTAAGCACGAGATCTGTCCTGAAGGATGAAATCCACAAAGTTTCTAACATCAAAGAACTAGCTAACTTATACACAACCATTCTGTATCAGTGAATTTTGCTGAGGTTCGCACAGCTTTGTTGCTGTTTTCAATGATTCCAGTGGTGACTGAAAACGCAAAATTCTCTTTCTCAAAATTGATTACCAAATTATTGGTGAAGCAGCATGAGCCAGCAACACTTATTTGGAATGGCAATTATCTCAATTTAAAGCCCTTATGTCTCGACTGTACTTTGCTGAAATCACGGATTACTGATCATTCTGTGGAACTAAAACCAAAGAACAAAGACTTTTAATGATAGTACTTTTTATTTTGTGTTAATACATTTCATCTTATGTTTATACACGTATTTACTAATATTAATTCTGTATACATATCTTTTCTTTTCAATGAACATATATATGATAAGCCAAAAAAATGTTTATAGGCCTTACAATTTTGATTTTGAGTCAAAATAATTCTGCACATCTGTGAATCCCATCTCTTACCTTTCATGAACATGAATAACCCTCCATCCTCAATGCCTGTCTCCCGTAACACTTGAACTGCATCATCCTGCCTCCAATTTTCCTGTGTAATAGACGTGAACCAAATTCTCATCTATACATGTGGCTGACTTCTTCGCATTATTTCTAAGAGTTCTCAAGTACACCACACAGTGAGTGATGTTGTCTTGTATTTCAATTAAGTGATTTTTGTTTTTACATTTCTTAAAACTGAATCTCACCCTTTTCACTATTAGTAAAACTTTTCTTCCTGATATTTTATTCCATTTTTTTTATGAAAATGAAAAGGCTGTACAAAGTGGGAATTTCTTCATTTAGCTCACAGTATTCTAATGATTTTCCATGCACAACAGTCTTTTAGAAATTTCTGGGGCAATGAAACTGTTTCCCTCACTTTTCCTACCTTTAAGGACCAGGACCAACATATGTTTTCCATCATCTGATCACTTTTGCAGCTGCTTTTGATGCACTTGCAATTGCATTCTACAAAAGAACAACAAATCTTTTGCTTCTCTTTCTTTTTCTATAGAACTGCAGCAGATTATAAACAATCCTTTACCCTCCTGAATGAGGTACCCTTCAGTTTTTTAATTTTCTACATGGTTCCCATTATGTGGACCTTACTCCTAGATATTTCTTTTCATACATCATATGATACTTAATTAGTTACTATATTATGAAATAAATCCGTGACCTGTAGTCCACAAGCGAACTATACCGACTGAGCAACTGCCACTTGTCAGCGAAGTTAGTGCCAACTTTCGCAGATAGACAGTGTCACACGGCCAGCATAATGAATCCCCACAGCCGTTAATCTCAGTTTTCCACACCAGAGCCGCTTTTTCCTTGAAATAGCTCCTCAATTATACTCACGTGGCTGAGTGGACCCTGTTCCAGACCTAGTACATCTCAGAAAATCTGGTAGAATCAGGAATTTAACCAGAAACCTCTGGATCTCTAGCCAGGAGCTCTGACCACTAGACCACAGATGTGGTCATTAAAAATGACACATATAAATAACAGGTTTGTATAAAACTGTACAGTCCTGGGCAGAATACTTGATCAAGTCATTATAGGGCCTATTCATTCATATTGAAAAAAGAAAGGTTTCTGCATTATTGTTGAACCTACTGACGGCCTGGTTTAATCATAATTAGGGAGTTTACATAAGCATGAACTATGGTGTGGGAGGAACTGATTACCTCACTTGAAATCAGTAGCCGATTGCTTGTATATTTCTTTGCTGCTGCTTGTACCACTCACTGCAGCATATATTGCACTTCATCCATGGGCAATCATACAGTTTGCTATTTGTCCAGTGCAGCAAAAAGCATTATGCACTCCAAAGAAGGGCCACTTCATATGCTCAAATACAAAAATATATTTGACCACTGGTAACATGAGCCCCATTAAGCAATCACAAAGATAAGTGTGGAAAAACTGTCAAATCAAAACACACCAGAGGTTCAGTCAATAATTTTTACTCCAGTAACCTTACTTACAAGCTCATGTGACTACATAACAGGTATGGTCCTCCGAAATACATTGCTGTATACAACAGTACTCAAATTTTTTATTATTCTTTTGCTTATATATTTATATACACACTTCCATCTTGTAACTATTATAACCAGTGACTCCATAATAATCCAGTTACAAAATAAATTACATCAATCCTATTCCTCTGAAACTTGCACTGCATCTGACATGCCAACATTTGTAAGTGAAACCTAACACCAGTGCAGGGATTATCACAAGGGACATTATGTACATGTGCTTCTCGGTTCAGTATTCTTTACAACAAGTTTTAAGTAACACAGTTCCTATACAATTTATTTTTCAGTGACTTCATTAAGAAAGACCATACCGACAAAATTCTACAAGTTACATAATAAGAATATGCTACTATTACTCATGCTAAGTACTGTAACATTACAAATATATTATGAGTCGAGCTAAGAAAAATGTATCGTATACAAGAACATACAAACTATTACATGAACTATAAAAATAGAAGCTTTGAGACTCAACCTTGTAATGATATACTTTGTTCTAGTAGTGACAAGTGATAATATTGGTAGAAAATTCACATAGCAATGGCATGCATCATGCCATACTCAAGAAAACATCATCACTTTCATGAAGTGAAGCAGCAATTTTAGTACTCATACCCACTAAGTGTGTACAATTTGCTGATTGCTTCCATACTGACAGCCTATTACATATGTGTACAATACTTACCCCTTAAATTTCACACTATCTTTTTTCTTTTGTGACTATACTTTCCTATAACACATTTCAATATGTAGATTCTGGGGAAGGTATACGAAGCATGATCAAAAAGTTCCGTGACAGTCATTTTAGCATAACTAAAGGTCAAATTACTTGATCAAATTCATCTGTTTTAATTTCACTTCCTACTGACTGTACACAGCAATTTCAGCCACTTACCATTTGTCATTTGTTGAAGCATTTCTGATACTGTTCATTTGAGATGGAATTCATTTTGACTGGAATACTTTGTATGACCTCTGACACCTCCCCAACTCTCATTCACTTCAGAATGCCTTACAGTTTTAAGAAACAGATAAAATCACTTGATGCCAAAACAGAAAACTAGCAGAATATTGTGAATGGCCAATTAATATATCTTGGAGCGTGAAATGTAGGGTGACGTACTATAATGACCTATGATATTGTTAACGGATTTGATCAATGCATTGCCAGGCAACAGCTCTGTGAACAAGGTCCAACATGCAACAGTTGAGAAGGCTGTTTTCCGTGTCCGCGGTGATGTTATGCAGCGATGGGTGGTAGTCACATGATGTGTTTCCTGTGATGCATGTCCATTCCCTGGCTATATAATTGACAGAATTCGTTCAGTTCAGAGATGAGTCAGTTCTCAGTTGGAGGCAGCCACGAGAAGTTTGCAGTTGAAGAAGAGTACAAAAGGCCTGTGAAGACTTCATGTGTATTTTGAAGACTTTATGTGTGCTGTAGCATTGTGATATTGCGAGTGTGTGATTTATTGAGACTTTTATGGTCCCCGTGTTATAAATCCCTGAGGACTAGTGCAGACAGACTGAAAAGATTAGTGTGGAGTGATTGTAAATTGTGTAAATCAGCAATAGTGTTATAATTAATTGTAATTACAATATGTAAGTATACAATAAATCCAATTACCAATCCAAACCCGTGTCTTTAGTTACTGTGACACGCAACAATAAAATGTTTCTGAGGTTCTCTCTGTTCACACATCTTACATGTGAATCATTTAGCATGTCCCACAGTAGATGCCAATGTCTGCCAGAATTTTTATCAATCACTCATTTTCTGTAACAATAATGCATATGGCAAAACAAAGGGCTCATTCCCTCAGGCATGATGACAGACAAACTGAAAATGCAATGTCCACCACAGAAGGTTAACCATCTTTAAACCACTAAAAATATTTTATCACTGGAAACGTTTCAGTGTCAGATGCTCTTCCACTCCCCATTTTTTAAGTTTCCATTCCGGTCTCACATGCTCTTCCTTCAGACCAGCAACTTCATTATCTACACAAACCTACATTTCTCATAAATTGAGGCAAGTGGCAGTTCAAGCAAGAGGGGCTGTCAGCAAATGTTGCAAGCTATGGCACTTAATATTAATAGAGTGGCCTTCCTTTCCCTATAACAATTTAGTTCCTGATATTTCCAACCAGACCTTGTTCATTTCAGCTATAAACTACTGTGAAGTATCTATGCTTTAGATTTCTAAATACATGTTTTAACTCTATTAATTCTGCTCTGTCACACTAATAAACTAAATTATAGAATAACTGTTAACATCACCCAGTGTGATTCAATTTGTAGATATTTAATGCCTTTACATGTTTCGGTCAGCTGACCATCTTCAGCAGGAATAACATCAACATGTTCAGGAACTACTATTACAAAGTTCATAATACATAATTGGAAGTTTTATATGAAAAGTTATTTAAAATTATTTGGATTAAAATCTTATTAATGTCTAATATTTAAGATCCTGAACTGATATGGTTTGTGTCGTTGTGCTTCTTCTGTTAAAATGGAATGCTGGGGTATTATTTGGAGTCCTCTCAGGGGATCTCATAGTGATGTCCCATTTTTTAGCTTGTTATGGTTCTGCAATTATATTATGGGTAATTATATATATATATATACACACACACATACATACTCTCACTCTATTTCCATAAACACAAATTTATTTCATATCTTATGCACTCCTACCTGTTCACTTCAAGATCTTAAATATCAAATATTAATAAGATTTTAATCCAAAAAATTGTAAACAACTTTTCATATAAAAACTTCCACATATGTATTATGAACTTTGTAATAGCAGTTCCTGAACATGTTGATCTAATGCCTTCTGAAGATGGTCAGATGACCAAAATATGTGAAGGCAATAAATATCTACAAACTAAAGCACACTGGACAGTGTTAACAATTATTCTATAATTTTGTAAATATATGTCTTTATGAAGGCAAGAAAGACCACGTGGTAACCATAAACATACTTAACCCTTCAGTGCCGGGCTCTGTCCTTGGCACGCCAGCGGCTTCTGTCACATGTCGCCGGGCTCCATACTCTGCATGCGTATTACAGCTCTAAGTTCCAGCTAGTATTTTGAACCGTTGTTTTTCATGTAAAGTAATTCTTTTGGTATGAAATTAAAGAGGAAATTTCAGGCTATCATTCTGTTATTTGTTGTCCCACCTTGAACTTCCTGCGGGAGTTGTAATCCATTTGAATTCTTGGAAGAATTTTCTATTTCAACACTTGGTGCGCTTGTTACCATATAAACCTATCTCTGCCTAGGGGAATTCTTATGAACTAAATATGTTAGATTGATACTGTGTGCTGTCCAGCAGCTGATCGAATGAAAAGTCAATTCTCTAAAGGCATATTCTGATCAGTGCTGCTTCAACACTGGTATTTGTAACGATGAGAAGACACATAGAGAATCTACGACTTTGAGACGTGATGTTGACTCTAGAAGTGTGTTATGACTGTTACTGTAGCAAATGATAAACAGTTCACTATATGAATGGTATTACTGTATTTCCCCTTTGTTCTATAAACAGCATCATGTAGTCTGGTTAGCCACAGCCAGCAGCAAGGAATGAAGTGGCCAGCTGTGTTGTGTCACGAACAGTGGAAAAAATATTTACTTCAAACTGAATCAGAACAAAGTTTTATCAGATTCGGAATTACACACTGAAACTGGATGTTTGTGCTTTTCTCAATTCTGTGGTAAATGACAGAATCAAGAACAGGACAAACATCCACTGAGAGAATATTCAAAACTATCAGGGACAAAAAGAATATTTCTGAATGTGATGATAATACGCAGGAATAACACAAGGAAAAGAACAAATCAATTGTCAATCAGAATTCAGTTAATTCTGTGAAATATGCTACTGCTGTAAAACACAAAGTGCCAGGTTGACATTTGTCAAATAGAACAGTGCCCCATCTGAGAGAGAAATTTTATAAGCAAGAGTCCACCAACCGCGGAGAAATCAAAACCACAGAAACAGCGTGTTGGGTATCAGAAACTGTGTACTGGTGTGACATGGGACCCTGTGTGGATGGTTTCACGACTAACACACCCAGCTAAACTTCTAAGGTAATATGATACTATCATTCATAACTTTTATAGGCTTACTGTGCCAAAAATAATTTTAAAGCAGTGCGGATCAATACACTGATTCTATATACATTTCTGAACATAGTGTGAAAATTGGAAAAAACAAAACTCCAGGTTTTCCCAATTTATTACTTTAAGTGAAATGTTGCACTATCCAATTTAAATATTTAAATATTCTCCAGCATAGGAGTTGAGTAGGAATTTCAATGCCTGCCGGCGGTGAAGGGTTAAGCAACAAGTAGGAACAACTTTATTTTTCCCACTTCTGAATAATCAATGCATTTCAAAACAACAGAACCTTAATTTAAACAAATTTCCATCTCAAACAGGTTTCCATTCAACACTGATACTTGCTTTTACATAACTACACAGCACAGGCATCTTGAACTGACAATTAAAATAACCAATTAAAAAATTCATGTCAAATATGTACACTATAGTTACCAAGTAGCAATCAGCTTCTTTTTTCTTTTATTTTTCACTTTTCAAGCCTTTCTTTTATACTTTCCCACTAGTCCCATTTCTGTTTCCATATTAAACAATTTCCATTTGGGACACAATTTGACATTAGTTGTCTCCCTATATTCTCAGGACTGAAGACATACCCAATAAAGCCAGAATCTCCATTTAAATTAGGTTCTGTTCCAGACAGATTGTACTGCATACCTTTAACTTCATAACTATCATATAAAAAATACAACACACAAACGGAGCCATATAAGCCATTATTCCCACCTTTTTATATTACAGTGTGGTACATTTGCATAACAGACTTATTCAAGATTCATGACCAGAATGAATCACGACTTCATACTACGATCCATGTTACAACAGTCTGAACTTACCATGAGAAACATCATATTAACACTGCAACTTTTATAATCACTAGCAGATACAATGAGCCAGCCGTAGCAGCTCCCCAAAGTGCATATAACTAGATAATTTGACTTATGATGTGCTCTTGTTCATTCAAACACCCTTCAACATTAAAAAAATCTGACATGTGAAAATAAAATTATGTAAGATGCAAGTCTGTAAAATGTAATAAAACAAAAACACTGTCTTACTTTACAGCAGCTTTCTTATACTACTTATTCATAAAATTAAGTTATGAAAGGTTTAGCATACCATGCTCTTACCATTTTGTAGAGTAAATTTAGAATTAAATAATTATAACATTTATAAAACAATAGTAAAGAAAGCCCTCCAGATGAGTGTAACATGATCTCAGTAACAGACAAACCTCATCCTGTAGGCCTAGTGGATGTAGGGTTTATTCTTTCCCCCAACAAACAATGAGTCCTGGGCAGTACAATGCAACTTTGGATTTACTAGGGTGTTACATTACATCACTTGTTACTGCACTGCATGAAGTTAGCCTCAAGACAGCTCTCCAATGGGTGCATTCTGGAGCCACAGTTCATGGATGAAGTGGTACAGATTGTCACTCACCGATACCTGGCAGCCAGGAGAATAATCACACTCAAACTGCACAATGAGAACTTCCACTCAGCCTGAGAGCCAATTCATTTAGATGGGTCACGAAACAATATTTTCTGCTTCAGGTAAAATGTAAAGTAGTCCCTGTGCTTAACCAATTAAGCACTACACCACAAAGGCATATGGGGAAGTGGATGTATAGATCCATTTTTTCTTGACCTCGGCACTAGTTGGAGGTGAGTGGTCAGCTTTAGGCTCCAGCAGCTTTACTCCCAGGAAAAGAGCCCCTGGTACACATTGGATAGGAGGTTGGGTGGACCCCAGAGCCAGTCTGGACTTGGAGAAGAGAAAATTCTTACCCCCACTGGGACTTGAACTCCGACCCCTTGGTCGTCCAGCCCATAACTAGTCACTATATGACAGAGCTATGTTTCAGGTATATGTCAAAACATTTCAATCTTATTCCTCTAGAAATCTTAGCATTATGAACTATCTTGCTCAGATCATTGAAAGTGATCCCACAACACTTACACCTCCAATAGAATATTATGCACAAATACCATACATGGAACATACAAAAGCTGTTTCTGTTTCCAGTATTACACTTCAATGAATATTTCATGTAATTCACATCAAACAATTCATGCACTCTCCTCCTCTTTTTAAAAATTAAGACAAAATGAATCTCTGAATATCATCATAGTCCACCTAGGGCTCATCAGCCCTCCTATTAAATATGTTCAAGGGTTCCATCTTCATGGGTATAGTAGCTGGAACATAAAGCTTACCATTAACCTGTGCCTAGCGTAAAGTTTAAGAATGAGTGGAGCTTTATATACCCTCCCCCCAAAGTCTTCATGGCATGATGTGTGACTAAAGGGACAACTTTATTTTCACATTCCACTATTCAGCATGGTAAATTTGACATCAGAGTCTGAATGGGACAGTAGCACAAATACAGTTTGGGGCATGTTTGAACTCACTGTTTGTAATAGTTTTGTGAGTAAGTGAGTGTGTCTTAGGGGGAGGTAAGGGCAGGGGCTATGTGCCCTAAATAAAATTTAAGTTATGAACTCAACTACCTGAGTTCAAAATTAAATATAATGTAGATCTGTCTCACTGTAAAGAGGAGTAAGAGATATATTGTCAGAAAAAGTTCTAATTGTAGACAATGAAAACTGAATTAAAACAGGATAATAGTGCATGAGCCTGTAACCAAGGTCCTACAATAATATGAATATAACATGGATTTTTATAAACACCATGAACTACTTAATGGGTCTGAAATTAAGGAATGTAAAAGGGTTGGATAAAAAGTAGTGGCAACACCGCTGGAACATGAAAGATGTGCGTCAGGTGGCACTAGCACCATCTGTAGCTGATAGCAGAAGTTCAGTTGAAGTAGTGCAGTGAGTGGCTCTTGGCTCTTGTTGTGTTTCACTGAATTTCATTGTGCATTGTCTTGAAGAGCAGGAGCCCAGTTCAAGCACCCAAACAACATGTTTATAAAACAAAAACATCACTCCTGGATAAAAATTGAAGTTGCACGAGGTCGTAGTGCACAAAACTGTTATCACGGACTGCGAGAAGCACGTGGTGATGCTGCTTTGCCATATCGCACAGTGGCACGATGGGTGAAATTGTTCCATGAAGGGAGGGATGCCATTCAGGACAACCATCGTTCAAGATAACCCCAAGTTGACAACCACGCAATTCAGCTTCTTGTTTCTTTGCTGGATGTCGATCATCGATGGGCTGCGAGGGAGTTAGCTAGTGAGGTAGGCATATGTCACAAAACCATGCACCACAATCTGCATGATATTCTTGGATACCGCAAAATTGCAGCGTGTTGGGTACCCTATACAATGTCCGAGGTTGAACAATGGCAACGTTATGCAACTGCACAGGAGTTGTTGGACCGGTACCAGAGGGAAGGTGATGACTTCCTTGGAAGGATTGTCAATCTGGACGAAACTTGGGCTTGCTCATACAAACCACAGTTGAAGCGACAATCAAATGAATGGAAGCATCCTGGCTCTCCTTGTCCAAAGAAAGTGCACCCTACACAGAGTAATCTGAAGGCGATGTTCATTATGGCATATGACACTGATGGAGTGACACTGCGCCACACTGTACCTCAATGACAGACAGTAAACTCTGCCTACTACTGCAATTTCCTGCATAAACATCTTTGTCCAGCACTCAGGCGAAAGCAACGACACTTGTTGGCAACGAACCTCATCATCCTTCATGACAATGCAAGGTATCACACTGCTGATGCTGTCAAGGATCCCCTTTGTCACTGGCAATGGGAGATACTGCAACATTGCCATACTCACCCGATATGGGTGTGTGCGATTATGATCTCTTTGCCAGAATGAAAGAACACTGCGAGGGACACGTTACAACACAAGAGAGGAGATTATTCGTGCTGCAGGGCGGTCACTGCTGGACATCAACAGAAGTGGATGCGCTGATGGTGTACAACACCTTTCACAAACTTGGCAGAAGGTGGTACACATGGAGGGCGATTATATTGAAGGAATGTAAGTGTGTTTACCTCAGGTAATAAAGTCATTTCAGAACTATAGAGGTGTTGCCACTACTCTTTATCTGACATTTGTAAGAATGTTACATATGGGGTAGGATGATCATCTCCAAAAATGTCATGTATGTACCATGAAGATAAAATGTAAGATGGTCTTCATCATAACATGGGCATTCCACCAGGATATGTAAAATAGTAAGGGGTATATACCACACTGTGTACAGATAGGTGTCAGGTCACCATGCAGTAAATGTCCATGTGTTAGATGTGTGAGACCTAGCCAAAGGTGTGTGAGTATGACTTTCTATCCTGATAGAGGTGAAGACTGCCACATGTGAACAGATGGTTTCACACCTAACAATCTGTTGTGCTGTATATGGGTCTAATCAACTTGCCAGGTAGAATAAACAGCTGTAAGATGGCAGTCATGAACACCAATGCCTTGAGGTTATTCAAATGTCAGGTTTCTGTGCATGACTGCTGCTTCTTTAGCAGCTGTATTGGCAGCTTCACCACGAAGCATGCCAGTGTGGACAAATCCTTAGTAAAATATAACAGTCTGGCATTATTTAGTCACATAAATACTACTGAAGCTGTGTGGATAATAAGAGAAAATCCAATCTTCAAAGACAAAGACACAGCCAGTTGAATTCTGCAAAATAATGGCAATAGTTAAGGGAAGATGTTATGCCTCTCACATGTTTCATGAATCAAGGAATGCAGGTCTAAGGAATATTCTGCCAAGCTGCAGTAGTCAAAAGTCTACTCAGCATTACGCATGAAAGTGTATCTGAATTCACCCCAGAAGTTGATGAAGGCCTACAGCCACAAGTCAAGAGGTGCTATGGTCTAATTCAAGTTTTCTGTGCTGGACGAAAGCTTCTGCTGCAAGAGAGATAGAGGGTCTACGGATTTCACACAACAGACTGAAGAAGTGTGGCTGGTATGGAAGACACCAGTGGAAAAAACAAATTCCAGTGTTATTGACCATATCCATGATGGGAAGTTTAAAATTTACGTGGTTCTGCACATGAAGCTGTCATTGTTAATTTGGGAGCAGATTAATGCATGGCAAAATCAGAGCATTACCTTCTGGTCTCCACCCCAAGACTTATGAGATACAACACTGCTCCAGGTTCACCAGGTAACCAAGAGTGGATATACAGCATCAAAGTCCCTACTAGGAATTTGGAGGAAAGTTTTTACTCTTAAGAATCCATGTAATTCATCATTTACCATGGGTTGCCTAGTCTTCAGGTACCACCAGTACAAATTATGGGCTTGTAACCAGCTGTTAGAGACTAGTCCCTATCAGATTTTGAAATCTGGGTAACAACTGCTTCTCTCCATGGAGCTGGAATTGATTTCTGTCCATATATAGTTACAGATGGGCAGCAGAACCTCAATGTCTGTACGTGAAGACGAGAAAGCATTTGGTATATATACTACGGGACAAGGTGATGTGTTAAAATGGTGTTCAAATATCGCTACTAGTTTGCCCATACTGAATGGAACATTACACAGTTATACTATGACCTGAGAAGAGAAATTATGCACAAGTGTTTCTGTGTTAGTAGTTACTATAGGATTCTGACAACGGTGTATAACACACAGAGATATTGGGTTTTTGGACTTTATCCATTGTCCTGGTTTCTTTTAAGATAACTAAGAAAAACACGACGTTTCGGAAACTGGATCTGTTTCTGTCCTCAGGTGAGGGAAAAACAGTGGGTCCAGTGATTGAGGCTAGCTCTTTCTAAGGGACCCAACAGAATAGGTGTTTTTCCCTCACCTGAGGACAGAAATAGATCCAGTTTCCAAAACGTCGTGTTTTTCTTAGTTATCTTAAAAAAAAACAGGACGATGGATACAGTCTGAAAACCCAATATCTCTGTGTTTCTGTACTGTTTTATGGACACAAGATTATAAATCATTATAAACATGTAGCCACCATCTGCCTGATATGTAATGATGGCACTATGCCAGGTATGAAGGTGTGACTGTATGTACATGTCATATGCCACAGTTAGTTCCACAAGATACCTGAACATGCACTCCCCTTCTCAACCTAGAAACAAAAGTTTTCCATGATGTGTGCTTAGCTTTATCACAAAACACTGTGTTTAGCATGGAGATATCTCAAGAATATAAGTTTCATGTGTGGGGTGGGAATGAAAGCATTTCACAGCTGTTTTCAAAGCAAAAATGGTGTTTCAGCATTCATTCATCCATGATCCAGAGAAAGGCAGGCAACATCATCTGGCAGACAATTGGAGGATGTGACAGAAAGTGGCTCACACAACAGTCCTTGCAAAATATTTAATTTCGCTATGGACATGAAAATCATCTGTTCAAAGAAAGTCACCATCTAAAATAAAATGTTGAGATCTGGTTTTAGATGGTATAGAAATGTGAATTACATGGCAGTGGTCACTAGCACATAAGTGGAGAAGAATGGACCATTCAAGAGAGACTGTGTAGAAAGCCAGGCAAGACAACGTTGCTCATTCTAGTCATATAAGCATATCTGTACCTATGCTTAAAATAATTAGATAAACCCAGCATTTACAATAGAAAATATTGTACTTATTTTGTCAGTAAGGGCTAATCCAACAAATACTTCTAGTGTTTCACCATGCAGAATGAATATGGAGGTAACTTTAGTAACATATTTCTGAGGTTGGCTGGTAATGGCAGTACCAGTGCAAAATAAATAGTAAAGAGTGAACGATAAGTTGGAGGATATGGACAGCATTGACTTGTGGTGGGCAATGGATATTAACTGGAGCACAGCAGCTGCTGTCATTAATGAAAACAGCCATCTTTTCACTGGCCCATTATCACTTAGTGTTGTAATGGTGGGCTGTATAACCGTGGAAGTTTTATGAAACTGTTATGGAATAGAACATAATTACATACACCACATGCTAAAAAACCACACTGATTAACTGTGTATAGGGCCTATCCAAGTTTCATGGACTGATCACACAGGCTTTGGTGTTCTCTGTGATATACTGTCTTCATAAAATCCTTGTGTAACTAAGGTTCACATTATTTTGGTCAACACATTTTGGAAAAGATAATATATGTGAAGTATGCAATGAAGTATGGTAATGTAATTGTTGGGTTCCATGTAGTTGTGAGCAGACAATGAAAGTGTCTTCACAGGTTTACAGAAAATGAAACTCATAGCTCTGCAAAGTAGTAATTGATTCAGGAGGTATGTGTTAAGGTACAGGACCAATAGCTGGCTCTTTTGGCTATTCCCTGTCTAATAAATCTGGTCATTTCATGAACATTCTCATGCAGAATGGCCCAAGCAAGCCAGACTGTAAACACTTTCAAATGATGGCTGAAACAATGTACATCCTCTCCATCACTGATTAGAGAACCTTCTGCCAACATTTTACTCGTACATAAGCCTTATCTTACTGTACCATTACTGGCTCACACTAAAATCAATTAAAATATTTTACAAATAAAAGACATTGTCATAATTAACCCCTGTGGTCATATGTTTGGCATTTTTCACACTGGCAACTTCTTATTGCAGACACGAATTAGGAAATTCCAGTTAACAGTTTGTAGAATATTTTTCTTTGTTTACTGCTATTACATATCCTCGGCAAAACAAATAATTATGTAAAAGAGAAAATTCAAACCCATACAGCACTGCAACAAAGACGCATCCAGACAACTTCAACTGAGGAAATCTCAAAGCAATTGCTGGTGTCATTGTGAACATGGATATAAATAAAAAACAGAACTCAGACATCACTTTTCAGAAGACTGGCCAGAGAGGTACAAATTTTTCAAACATGTATTTACCAAGGATCAGCTTTGACAAATCTCTTGAATACTTCATGCCATTACTCAAATCAGACAAAATTTACAAGGTGGTGGATTATCTACAGAAAGAATTCCACATGTACTGTTTCAAAAAATGAATTTCAACTGCTAAAACCTACATAATGATCCCTTTGAGAGTATACCTCGGTACCCTCACCCCACTCTACAGACCAACCACTACAGCATCACTGGGACTCCCACCAAGGTTTTTTACTGCAAGAATAGTAATGCAGTCATGTGATAAACTTCTCCAAATCATCAATGGCACTGCCACCATTAAAAGTTTGAAGATATGTAGAAAATTCTCATCCTTTAAACTTATGCAGAATTTACACATGCTTTAAAATATTTGCAAAATACCTTGTATGGTGTGGGATTGAGGTTTCGCTTGTGATCATTGCGTAGGCTGTCCAATGAAGTTCTAACTTTCTCACGAATTTCTTCCAAGCCAGGTAGATGACAACAAACTTTCCCATTCTGCCAGTAGACCTATAAATAAAAACATACTCTGTCACGTCCTCATCTTTCACACTTTTGTATGTATTATTAACTCTCTGGCACAACTGCCATGAGCAACTGAATACGATGTTTAACTGCTCAAGAAATTTCCTTCTAATGAAACTGCATTTATCATCAAACCCACCACAGGACTGTCTCCTTGGACAGTTCAATCCAATTCACAGCTTCATAACCCATATATACATAAACCAGTTTAATATATACAATCTTCCCATCTATTTTGGTATTCCAAGTGTTCTTCTACCACAAGTTTTTACCAGTCAATGTTCCAAATCATTTCTTGCTGCCATCATTAACATGTCAAACCCAGCCCAGCTTCAGTGTAACACTGGCAATTACCGGTAAAATTTATAACTTCTGAAACATTTTTATCTTGAATTGGACCTACTGATTATATTCATGCTCTGAATGTGTGTCTTGAAATTCTAGGATCAAGGTGAGAAAAAATATCTCATTTTTAATGATGTTTTTTCTCAAAAATTTGAGAACCACCTTTGCTCTGCAGAGCAGCATGCAAACTACACAATCCATACGAATAACAGTTAACAGCCCAAGTACAAATCAACCTATCAAAAAATCCGTCTCTCCCTGCCTCTTTCTGCCCAAAATGAAAAAGGACATGGCTCTAAAACTTCGTTATAAATTGCAATTATGGTGAAAAATTGTATCTAGCATATAAAACTGTTATTCTTTTCTCAATTCTTAAAATGTTTTCAAATTCTCATCTGAAACTTAAAGCCATTCTCACACATGCCTAATTCTGTAGCTTGTCAAATGCTATGAACAGATACTGTCCCTATCGAAACAGCAGTGCAACGCAGTAGTAGCTAACTGCAGGCAGTTAGGTGCAGTCACATCCCTAGTTAATGTGCCACGCTTTTGAAACAGCATTCTTCATTAGCCTGGGATTGCAAATTCTGTTAGAGAAGAAATAGCAGTACACAGTGTCACATAACTTGCCTGTACAATTTATTGCAGAGACATTATCCCTCCCATTCAAAGTTGGATTAAAGGCAGAGATGGAGAAAATGAAATACTTGCTCGAGGCCTTCTAAAATCTTAATCCAGTCTTGCTGCCATTATCATTTACAAAACCCTTCCTGGACTAATATTTAGACCTTTAGAAGTACACATTAAGGATCACAAATATAACCTGACCCGGAGTTTGCTGGAAACATCAAAATTCACCCAACATGCATACAAGAAAGGCCACAAAATATGCTTGAATGAAGCGAAGGTCTTGATGATTGAGCCCACACCACATATAGGAAATACAAGGAATAAGCCCATTTGTCTCTGCTGGACCATCTGATCAGTCAACCCAGTTTGGACATCTCTCGCATCTGGACCCGTTATCACAGCAGAAGTCAAGAAACTACAACTTCATCAAGTGTAGTTTGAGTGTGAAAAATTTGTTTTTCTTTTGCTGGTACCATAAGGAGTACTGCTTGTTTCCAATGATGATTTCAATTGAGATACCTCTCTGGTGCAAGGCCTCATACATGTGGAGTTTTAATAATCTAATGGTTTCTTAGCTCTTGTAGATGGTTTGTGTTGTGTTTATGTTTCCTATCTTGGAGATAGCACAGTTGTCTGGAGATGGGGACCAACTCTATCAACTGGGCCCAACTGAGTAGGTTTTGCCTGAAGATGGAGACAAAATCCAGCCTCTGAAACGTTGTGTTTTGAAAAATTAACAGGACGGTTTTTAGATACAGACAAGACAATGGATAATGTCCAAAACATGATAGCTGTACTCATGTACCATTGTCACAAACTTTCAGATCTTATTCACATCCTCAATGCTTGCATACAGTACCAGCTGGGCCCTTGGAGATGAGTGACAAAGGAGCATCTTACCCCATGTTAATATCCCCATAATGAAAGTTGAATACATTGGACCAAATCCCTGTCTACCTGAATTCTGATAAAATGAGGAAATTGCATAGAAAACTGCCTGACAAGACTCCATGGAGCAAATTTCTTCTTGAGAAGCTAACAGCTGTTCAGCTAGTCAAGAAATTCCATGCCTTCTATGGAACTCAAAGGCATTACTGAGCTCACAACAGCCTGCCACTAGACAATATCCTGAGACAGATGAATAAGCTTTACATCCTTAAACCATACTGCTTGCAAAACCATTTTAACAGACCCTTTCATCTACTCCTAGGTCTCCTAAGTATTCTCTTCCCTTCAGTTTTTCTGACCAATATACTGTGTACATTTCTCCTCTGTCTCACTCCTACTACATGCCCAACCCACTTACTCTGATTGATCTAATAATATATGTTGAAGACTACGTTTTATGAAGCTTGTCAATATTTAATTCTTTCCAATTTCCTGTTACTCTCTCTCTCTGTCCTCTGCACCCTCTACTTAGATACCTTAAAGCGGCCTCCATAGTCTAGGGGTAACATTCCCACCTCATGACTCAAGGTACATGGGTTCAAACCAGGTGGAGGTTGTGGAATTTTAAGGGCAGAAAAATTCAGGGAACAAGTCCTCCAGGAGGGACTTTAAGCCGTGTGTCCCATGTCATAGATTTACAGCACATAAAAGATCCTCATGTCTCAAGGAGACCTCTGAGCAATATTAGGCAAAGTTTGCTGCCCAAGTAGTTTCCAATTCCTCCAGTAGATGGGGAAGTATCGGGGACCACTGCCAGAGAGGTGGCCGACCTCGCTGGCAGAACGGGGCTGATAGCGAGCACCAGTACTGGAAGGGCATGGAGACTAGTAGAATAATTAAAAGGGGGACGCACAATAGATTAACAACTAGTCGCAGTACATGGGGAAACCCACCCCCTACAAATAATAATAATAATAATAATAATAATAATAATAAATAGATACCTTAACCTATATTCTTCCCTTCGAGTGAGATCAAATTTCAAACACATACAAGAAACATGAAATGGGAATCACAGTGAAAAAAAAAATAGATTATATAAAATAAGAAAAAAACAGTAAACATAACATGTTTAAAATGTATAAATAATGTAATAACAATATTACTTTGGTGCCAGGTAATGTAACCATGCAACTTCCATGGTATGCATAGGACGCACCTTATACAGAGGCTCTACATGCGTTGGAATGACATATGCTCGCTTTGATTCCTGGAATGGATGCCTGCACAGAACCTTCTGCCCAACCTGTGGTGCTGGCTCTACTGACCGCATCAACAGATCTATCAGTGCATGACCTACAACATGCATTAATAAATGTATGAATTTCAAAGTGCTCTAAAAAGTACAGTAGCAGTAACAGCCGTTTACATGTTTGTTCATTTATTTATTTATTCTTGTTTTTGGTGACTGCTGTTTTCTGCTTATGGTACAGAATACCTTTATTCAGCCAGTCAATCTCAGTAGACTTTCTACATCTAATAGTCTTCCTTCTTTCAGTGACTCTCTGGCAGCACTGTGCTCCTCAAGGATCTGATGGATCCAGTTCAACTGGAAATCTGCAAGCTGATACCGAAGCTCATCTGGACACCTCTTTTGATTACTAGGTCCATATTTTGATTGTACTCGTCTACACAAAGTGACCTTTTCTTCCTTTTACCTGCGGAGTGATCTACTTTTACTGCCCCTACAGTACTGTCTGCATGAATTGCTGCTAGGTTACAACCCATTTATCATGCCACTCTGTGGCAAGGCTTCTGTCTGATTTGCAGAGTTCGCTACAAGACCTGTGGCATACACTTCCTATTCATGGTAATACAACACCATAAATTTCTATAATTCAGCATTTTCACTGGCAATGAACTGGTGTACCAGCAGTCCCTTGTCCAGTGTTCCAGTAGTGAGACAATGCTGTGTTGCACCACTTATTCAGGTGTGATTTTTGCTTCATACTAGCAGATTGTTTCTGTTACTACTGTATGTATAAAGATATTATACACAGAGGTCTTGAAAAGTATTATCATTATTAAATCTTTTTTGGCTGCTCATTTACATTTATGTAAGCATAACCAGGTGAGCCATCAAACTGAAATGAGTGTCAGGTAAAATGTGTATGCTCTTTAAACACAAAACCAATGTCCTAGTCTCACCACTGCAACTTTTATCAGAGACTGTCTCTTAAGTTAGGCTGTGCAATAGCCCAGGTGGCTAGTTTCCAGCTTCTCACCATGGAAGCTTGGGGTTATCTTCATAGTAATCCACCTACGATTTGTGGTGGGCAAAGTAGCACTGAGACAGGCATTTCATCCAAGCAGTTCATGTTTCCCCTGTCAATTACCTTTCCTCAAATGCTCTACACTTGTCTACCATTGACAGCTGGCACAATAGGTCCAACTGAGGCTGCAGTACTAAACTCTCATTCCACTCCCACAACTAAACAGCAGTAAATTTCTCTAACAACAAAATTTTACTTTTATACAAATAATTTGACTTGTTCTATATCTGGAGGCTGAATTGCAAAATGTGGATTTCTGGAACCAATAAAAATATGAATATGAAAATATTAGGCTAGTGAAGCTTACTATTCAGTATGCAAAAAATGTGCAATTTTATTTCTCAGTGCCACTAAATACATTTAATGGACAGAGAAAAGGCAATGTGCTAGAAACTAATACTGTGGGAACTGGCGTTCCCTTTCAGTACATAAAAGTTAACAAACACTAACAACTAAAGTTGTTTCTCCTTCAGAAAAATCATGTTTCATGACTTCATCCTACTTTCCATATAATGACTGTAACCATCTGATGCTACATAACTGTCCAGCTGAAAATGTATTACTAAACACACCCAAATGGATCGAACCCACAAGTACAACATACAATTTCATGTATCATAATTTCTGAGCAATCTTTAATGAAATCTGACAGCTCCTACCATCAGCACCATATAAACGATAAGCTGTCTTCTTTCCAGGCATTGTCACCTTCATCACATCCTGACTCAACTTGATGCGAGGTGTGCCATTGATTTCCACCATTTTGTATACTCCACCAAGCGCTGGCTGCCTTTGACAGGTCACTACAATCAAACCCACTCCAACCAGTTATCATGACTTCTGAGAGCAATATGTAACAAGCCTATGTGAATCAAATAAATTAAACATTTTACAACATAAAAAGAACAAATTATGTGATTCTTGGGCAAAGATGTCACTTAAAATAAGCTAGAATTGCTTCATTTTTAGATGTCTCCAGAAATAAATGATATTTACTGCAGTTACTATAGGATTCTGACAATGGTGTATAACACACTGATATGTTGGGATTTTGGACTTTATCCATCGTCCTGGTTTTTAAGATAACAAATAAAAACACGACGTTTCGGAAACTGGATCNGTCCAGTGATTGAGGCTAGCTCTTTCTAAGGGACCCAACTGAATAGGTGTTTTCCTTCACCTGAGGACGGAAACAGATCCAGTTTCCGAAACGTCGTGTTTTTATTTGTTATCTTAAAAACCAGGATGATGGATAAAGTCCAAAATCCCAACATATCAGTGGGATATTTACTGCAGTTTTCACCTTCATGGCAATTTCACAATAAGTCACAACTGAGAAGACAGATCTGCTGAGCTGTATCTGGGTGGTTACCAGTTTGAATTTTAATCAGAGAAGTACCGTTCAGATCAAAATGGTGAACTGTTTTCCTCACTCCTTCCTTGGAGATTATCAATAAGTGATCCACAATGCCCTCCAAATTCTTGCATAAAGAGTACTAATATGAAAAATCACTCTCACATTTTATTGGTCATGAAAAAGTGAAACATTGCTCTTAAATAAAAGTTAAGTGTGTGTGTGAATTTAAATAACAGATGAAGAAGAAATGAACAGAAAACAATGAGATAAGTGCAGATACAATGAAGGCCTAAAGAGAAGGGATAGAGGAAAGAGAACCAGTTCCTTTACTTTATAATCTTCTCAGTAACCATACAGAGTTTTCCACTTTGTCTGAAACTAATTTTCATATACCATATTACCTGAACATAAGACACCCTGAAATTTAAGACATCCAATTTTTAAATGAGGGTTTTAAAATACAATTAGAAAGGTGTATTTATGTCGATCAGTTTACTCAGAATATATCAATTAAAATAAAAAAATATTTAGAACACATTTAAAGTGAAAAGTAATGAATAAGATGGAAATTTAAAGTTTTCACTACATGTGTATTCCTTTCTATCTTTTTTATTTAATCAGAAAGTTCGTCCAATGGTCCTTCAGTTGCACTTTCATCTTCTGAAGATGATGCACCTTTGCCACTTTGTTCACTGTTATCCCAAAAAAAGTCATCTTACTTTCCATCTTTTGCATTAGACAAACAGCACTTTCAAAACGATTTGGGGACAATACTGACTGGCACTTCTTTCCAAGCTTTTGATATCCACTCCACTATTAATGACACTGATGCTCTTTCCATTTTGCCACTAGGTGTCAATATATGGTTGTCTTTATTCAGCCAGGCATCACAGTGTTTATGGACAAGATGCCTGAATTGTTTGTCAATTGACACATCAAGTGGATGTAATTGACTTGTCATGCCTCTAGTAATTATCATTAGATCAGTGTTTTTGTTCCTTAACCTATTTCAGATTCTATCAGTGAGATGGCCACAAAAAGCATCCATTTCAAGCATACCCTGTGGCTTTCATAATACATCAAGCCGATGTTCCCATACACATCCAAGTCAGCCTTCCCTTAACTCTGATGTCATCCATGTATTTTTTGGGTCCAAAATCTCTGCAAAGATTTTCTTTTGTAACTGTGTTTAATATTATGTATAGTGGTTATTTATTGGCATTTGTGGTTATACACAGCATGACAGTAACACACAATTTTCCAGAGCCTGTGGTTTTCATTGCCACTTGGTTTCCTCTTTCAAACTTAAGTTATAACTGCGAGGCATGTCAAAAAAACTGCAGTTTCATCTGCATTGCCAATTTGACTTAAATACTTATTCCTTCAGCATAGTTCAATAATAAAATGCTGAAATTCAATCAGTTTATTTTCAAATTCAGAAGGAAGTTTTGACTAATTTTTGTCCTTCATCATAATGATAGGTTTTCTCTCTTCATAAAATTTTCATCCCATCCATAAGTAGCCTTGAAAGGTAGCTTACTGTTTCCAGTACATTCTTTTGTTTTTGACATTAGGGCTTCCCTAGTTAATGGTAAGCCTTTATGTCATAATCTCTGAAATACTGTAAAAGAAAGGCATCAATCTCGGTATTTCTCCCTTTCCTTGTTCCAGAAAAAGATTATTTGTCAGACATGAAAACAGTTTTGTTTTTATTCTTTGCCAATGACATATACATGCCTCACTTACCGTATACTTTCTACCAGGTGCACAATCACCCATATTTTCAGCACACAGAATAACTTTTCTTTTGAATATGGCATCATATATAGAACACTTTTCCATGGGCAAAACTGACAGAAACCTAAACAATAAGAATGTCAGGCAATGACTGAACTGAAAGTTTGGGGTTGACTCATAGGTGAAGGTGGGGGGATGATGATTGATAACTCACTCTGAATGTGTTTACACTGGGTTCTTTCCAGGCTACCCTGTGGACAATTTTCAAAGTAGTGAATACTTCCTCAAATTTAAGATGCACCTCAACTTTTCAACAGGAAAGAATGTAAAAAATGTGCATCTTTTATTTGAATTAATATGGTAACTAATTCTTCGCATATTCTCCTGTATTAAAATCTGCAATATAAATTCTTGCACAGTTCATGTTAAAAAGAATGACAGCAAAATTCTCTAAACATTACAACATAGCACAAAACAGTCATTGTCCAAGAACCACATAATTGTGTTGATGGTCTCTCATCATTCTGAGTTATGATTACATTTTAATTCTAAAATGACTAACTGAAAAATTAAAATCATAGATCACTAAAGATCACTATATTTGAGAAAACTGATTATTTCAGAATTCCCATTATAACAACTGGGCACTTTATTGAATTATTTACATATGTTACATTTTACCTCACAGTAACTTCCAGGGCAAAAACGTTTCCACTCAGTAAGGTGACTCAATCAAGCAGTTACTCCTCCATCCTGCACATGGAAGATGCCCGATTCCTATCTACTCTGAACACATTTTTCAAGCTATTCCACAGTCTCTCCAGGCAAATGCAGGGAGAGACACTTCCATCATCCCTTATAATTAATTATTCACTAAACTTCCTACCATCAAAGCTGTGGAGTCTGAGCTGCTGACAGCATCTTTAAATAAACCATGAACAGATAAATAAACCAAAGATTCCAAACTCTGCATGGTAAACTAACCAGCAAGCAACTTGAAATGAAGGACTATTATTTGAGATAAAACATTCAATGTGGGCTTCAGTTCAGCTTCTGAAAATTCTACAGTATTCATAACTCAACCCAACTGTCATTTCCATCTAGCTGGTTTGCCTTTACAGTCTTGTCACTAGGGTCTTCCTTCCTTCCATGCATGCAATTAACATCTAATTACACAGCATCATCTGACTCTGCTCGTTCTACAAGGTTAGGGTTGTGCTATAAAGACAACCTATACTACTTATACTCGTAGCTATCTGGCTAACGTATGGAGCACATACCAAGATGCGTGCCAATTCCAAAACAGTCAATCTTGTGTCCCTGTTCATTGAGGCTTAGGATGGTGTCTTCATTTATGTCATTTGAGGCCACAATTTTGAGCTTAGCGAACCAGGGTATGTTGTACCTGGAAGATAATCTAATTAGGTCACGGTACTCACAATGCAACTTCCTACAGCATATCTTTAAAATGCTTAATTTTTCTCCATGACAGAACAGAATGTATGATTAACATAAGAAATACATCTTTGAACTCGACAATGACAATGACAATGACAATTTTAGCTTCATTTGTAGAGTTTCTCTTCCATCTAAAATGCAACACACTTTTTATTTTATATGACACCAAACTTACATGCAACTCATTAACATGGCAGTTAAAATGTTCTTAAAATTTTATATATATTCTATGCCTGGCTATATGTTTTGGCCTCACAGGGCCATGTGCAGGCAAATTTTTGTTATAGAATCTACTGCATTGTGCCCACTTTTGTCAAGAGTACTTGTTGACGTATGTTGGGATTATTCTCAATTTCTGTGTTTTGGCATTTGGTGTCCTGCAACAGGATGCTGACATATATTATAAATTTTAGCTTTCCTAATTAATAAAAAATTTAATGAATTCATCATTTAATAATATTTTTGTTACATGTTTTTAGGTGAGTTATACATATTTCCTATGTTCATAATAAAAATAAAAATAGATCATTTGGGTGATATGTGAATTTAGATTAGAGAAGGTAGGGGGAGGGTACTGCTGCTTGCTCTTCCTCTGCTTGGTACGGTTCTGCATTCCACTGCTTATGTGTTCAAGTTCACAACACGTCCAATAATACTTGTTCAAATCTGTAACAGGCCTTCATGCTCTTAGCTACTCAGCTGAGTTCACTTGGTAAACTTCATGCATTTTATTTGTGGTTTTTCTTAATTGCTTGGAACTTCTGCATGATTCATTTTTTTGTATGAGTTCACGCATTGTTTCATACCAGAATGATGTGTTAGGTATGCCGCACACCGACATGCATCAAAATATGTAACAGTCAAGACTTCTGCGACATGACGCAAAGAAAGGAGCACAGTTGAAAGGAATGAGATCATGAAAACCACTGCATACTGGTCTGAGTCATGATACTGACATCAGCTTCATGTTGACAACTCAGAAATGAAGCAAAATTGGGTTTTTGCCTCATGTCTTGATGCTTGTCTTGACGCAGCTGGTGTGCGGCCAACCTAAGCCTGAGAACCATCAATTTTTGTTATGTGAATGGAGACTTACAATTTTAAACCTGAAATGCAACATTTTCCTCTCCTGTCAGAAAAGCACATAAATTTTATTTCAGTTGTAAGGTAAGGGACCGTGACAAGATGTTGGCACCTCATATAATGCCATGCTATATGTTCAAAACTTCTGACAACTGGCTAAATGTGTCTTATCAATTGCTGTTCGATGTTCTGATGACATGGACGGAGTCAAAAGAACTGTTATTCCTGTTTAAAAAATTCATTAGGTATCACTGCAGAATCTAAACATATGGTAAAACACTCAAATTTGCTATAAAGCACAAGGCCTGTGTTACATATAAAAAATTACCAGCATTAAGACTGCCAGAAAAGGGGAGTGTAAATGACGAAAGGAAAGTGATATAAAATGTAATGCCACTCAACATGGATTACTAACAGAAAATCAACACAACACTGATCAGTTACTTCATCCTTCTTTTTCATCAACAAAACCTCATTAATACAGGGGCTATTTGAGAAGTAACCATTTATTTTAGGCAACTAATGCAGGAATTGGGAACAGCTTACACATATGAGGTAGCATCATATGACTCACTGCCTTGTAAATGATCACATAACTGATCCAGTTCCAGTGACTCTTTCTAACAAACCCAATTGAGTAGGTCTATCTTCCCCCATCCACCTGAGGACGGAGACAGATCCAGTCTCCGAAACATTGTGGTTTTTTGTCTTATATATATCAGACGATGGATAGAGTCCAAAATAAACCTTATAAACACCTAGTGTTTGTTCTTGTCTCCACAGAGTGAGTTATATGTCCTGTGATTGATAATCCTGCCAGCTGTAAAATTTACACTATTATCCACTTTCTTCGTATTAAAAACATGAGTGCTGCGGAAATCCATTGTAAATTATGTGCAATGGTTTATGGCGAAAATGTAATGAGTGAAGGAACTGTAAGACAATGGTGTATAATGTTCAGAGGTGAGCAGGTGAACAAATGTACAAGAAGACGTTGTTTCAGAGTCCAAACAATTAAAACGTTTCTATTTAGTTCTCAGAAATACATCTAACATACATATTTAAAATATTCATGAAAGAAATTATAAGTTCTTACTGATGTGCCACTTTCTCAAAAGTTGATCGTGCCAGCTTAGAAAGGTATGCAAGATCACCACTGTCAATTCTAATTCCAAGGGCTCTGTAATCAAGATCATTCAGGGCCATTGCCACAGCACAAAAGTTCAGAAGACCACTCCTGGAACATACATAAAAACCAGTTTATATTTATCACTTATTTACATACCCAAGTAAGCTACAAATGCAATCCCACTTCTCAACACCTCAAATTAATGGAAGAACATTTTCTTCTGTTTACACTTCTAATACTGAAGCACAGATCAACCCTCATTTAGCAGGTCCAACAGAAGAGTGCTGTTTAATAATATAAGCTAGTTCTAACTATAAGGATCAAAAAGCATACGACCACTTCCAGTTGTGCATGTAAGGCATTCATCAGTACCACTGCATTCTGCAGAGACCTCACTTACTGCCCCCTATACATAAAATAAAAGATGCCCTGCTGTTATAATACAGATAGAAACAAAAGCCACGCTAGAACTCAGTGCTTTGTACTACTACTGGTGATATAAACATTAGTTCTTTGAAGTATTTTGATCTGAAAATGTCCTATATTCTGGTAAATATGGTAGCTCTATGCCTACTCCTGTAGCAGAATTTTTTAAAATATTTCTGTAAAAAGAATCNCATTAAAAGTGATTGAACTTGAAGATTTAAAGAACTTCAGATTCTATATATGAGACAAACTCCGTCTTAAGTGCAACAATTTAATTGTAGTACTTTCTTCTTCCCTTCTTCCACACTACATGTTTCGGCCCTAAATGGCCATCATCAGGTGTGTATTCTTACGTAGCTGCTACACTGCCCATAGTTCAAAATTTAAAATCACCAGTCTTTCTAATTGTATGTATGTATAAAATCTTTGATAATCTACTCACATCAATTTGATTTTAAAATTGGCACTTTTTTTAAAATTCAATTCAGATTAAAATGTCTATAAATTTACTGTTCATTTTTAAAAATTTGGAAAAAGAAAATGAAGAGTAAATTTATAGACATTTTAATCTGAATTGAATTTTCAAAAAAGTGCCAATTTTAAAATCAAATTGACGCGAGTAGATTATCAAAGATTTTATACATACATACAATTAGAAAGACTGGTGATTTTAAATTTTGAACTATGGGCAGTGTAGCAGCTACGTAAGAATACACACCTGATGATGGCCATTTAGGGCCGAAACATGTAGTGTGGAAGAAGGGAAGAAGAAAGTACTACAATTAAATTGTTGCACTTAAGACGGAGTTTGTCTCATATATAGAATCTGAAGTTCTTTAAATCTTCAAGTTCAATCACTTTTAATGAACAGCAAGCTACGATACAGTCTGCAAACCTACCCTCACTATCAACGGAATTAGTACTTTCTAGGTCTGTACCATGTGCAAATCAGTTAATGGTGCCAGTAATTGTACGGTGAAGTGACAAGTACCCTCAGTACTACACTGATGAAAATAAAGATAACAGTCATCTATACATAATTTCTCTATGGTTTTGAAGTTGTGCATACATTCCAAAACTAAGTACCACATAACTTATGCCATTCATAAAACTGAAATTCTTTGTTTTTTTTTTCTCTCTGGCAGATAAATACTCCCTTTTAAATAAACAACAAGAACTGCAGAAATGACAATGACAAGTTACTGCCATCCAAATAACAGTATCAAAAAGAGTTCAGTGACAAAATTTAGAAGTAGAGGCTGAGACACAGATGCCAACTATTACAGAAACACAGCAATTCGTAGTGCTCGACAGGAAAATGTATCCTGTTTGATACTTCAATACTCAATCTCACCTCCTGCTTTAATACACTGCCATAAAACTACAGATCTGTCAAATTAATATAAGGTCACAATGAGGCATATCATCAATATTCTAATGTTACATAATAGTAAGAAAAAAGTAAAGCTATCCTTGTAACAGGCTGTGAAGGCCCATAGGGTTGTGAGACGTTGAGGGTCCCACATTATCTAGACAATCGGCTCAAAGATGGCGGTAAGGCTGTCAACCTTACACGCTGGCCACACTTTACTCCACAGGAAAATTATTTAATTAATTCCTGGTACTCATTTCTGTTAGAGACTGAGTCAACCCCAGGGTCATAGTGCGGCCGGAAGGATTAGGTTAATTGAAAAAAATCAATAACTTCATGTTACATTAAAGCACATTTTATCTCAACATTCAGTCGCCTTATGTGTTATATCAGAACAATTTTGAACAAACTTTGCACTCTGGTACTCAAAGAATTCTTGAAGATTATTCAAGATATTCTCTCCATAAAGTCTTCCTGTTGTTGGCAACCTGGCAATGCCCTGAGGGTTTCACCCAGGAAGCATATACTGGTATCACACTTTATCCAACATCAATGAGTGGCAAAAAGTCTCACAATTAATAACCAGTCTGTTTATGTAAAGATAAAAATAGTCACTAACCATTGGTTAATACAGTCATTTTCATACATTCACTTTATATGCACATTCCAATATTTCTGCCATTCCTGGGAATCATCTTCTAAATGTTTCCTCAGTACTGTAATCACAATGCTCTGAATGTCTTCAAATGATTTAAAATGAAAACCTCTGAATATCATTTTTACTTTTGTAAACATAGTCATCTAGAGTAAAATCAGGCAACTATAGTGAATATTAAATTGTGGTTTTCTAAAAACTGCTTTCTTGAAAATGATGTGTAGAAAGGCATGCTGTCATGATTCAATTCCTTTTGTCTGGCCAAAATGAACTGCTGTCCCAAAATTTGAAGGTACAACAACTCGTTGGTTGCCCTATTCCAGTGTAACAAATTCATTATGGATGATTTCTTTAATACATTTTATCATGCAGAATCTTTTCTTTTCCAAAATACAAATTTGTTCCAGAAATTTTGCCTCCTTGGTGTTCTATTTCTGGATTGTGCTGGAAGACCCAAGCCTCTTCGTGAGGCATCTTTCCTTTTCCAAAATGTCACATTCTTCTAACAATCTTTGATACTTTGTTTCTGGATCAAGCTAGATGACCCAAGCCTTATCACAAGTTACCTCTTCTCTTCTAAAATATCAGCTTCTTCCAACAATCTTCCCTATCTCAGCGTCTGATTTCTGGATCACACTGGAAGACCCAGATCTTATCACGTCACCATTTCTTTCTGAAAATGTCATGTCCCTCTGATAACCTTGCATGCCTTGATGTTTATTTTCTGGATTTTATCAGAAGAACCAAGACTCACAATGAGTCCCCTCTTATTTTCTAAAATATCTGCTTGTTTCAACAACCTTGCCTACCTTGGTGTCTTCCTTCTGGATCATACTGGAAGACAAAATCTTATCAGGTCATCTTTTCTTTTTGATGATGTCAGGTTCTTCCAACAATTTTGCTTATGATGATGATTTATTTTTTGACTGAACTCAAAGACACAAGCCTCATCATGAGTCATCTTTTCTTTTCCAAAGCGTCAGGTTCTTCCAATAATCTCACTAAAGACCTAAATACATTTTCCCATTAGTTTTGGTCTGACAGGCAGAAAGAGGAACAAAATACTGCACAAATAAAACACTTACTGTTACCACAAAACAAACTGCTCCACTTTTTTACACAGAAATGTCCAAATATGTTACCTCATATTCAAACACTGTATCTTACAAGTGTTGCCAGTTGCTGAACAAAAACACCAGTCCAGTAGTCTAACCACCTGATCTTGCAGAAGATCTCTTACACGCTACATTATTTTCAAAAGAACAGCAAGAGAAATGTGGTGAAATTATAGTTAATTCTTCTGTAACATGTATATATATCCCATCAAATGGTATTTATTACCAATAAAATGTCACCCCTACATGTAATACCACCTTATCAAGGCATGCAGAGAACAAAGAGGTATAGGTCCATGCATTTCAGACCTTGACATTAAATGGAAGTCACCATCAATTTCATGCTTTAGGGGAAGAGGGCCCTGGTACCCAATGGACTGTCAGTACTAATGCGAATCAATATTAGTGACGCATGAACCAGCACACACACTTTCTGTTCTTGGCAATGATACACAGGCAGCAACAGCTCAGTAGTTTTCCTAGCTCTTAACACTTTAAGGCTCTGATCATTTAACTAGCAACCAGTAATATTTTTAATACTTCATTCTTGCAAATATGTAATTCCAAAAGTTATCTAAAATTCTGACTGAACTCAAAGTTATCCATGGAGTCAAACAATATGTGAAAATATTAAATTACTTATTTGAAGCAGTTATAAAGTGATTGGCAACAATGGCTGTCAAGCTCTACTGTGGACAACTGAATTTCAAAAGAGTGCAAGTATGAGATTAACAGAACTTTGAACTTACTCGGACAGCTGCAAACAGAACATGCCAACTATGGGCTACTGTGAAGATTACAGTCTTCTGTCATGTGACACCATGCAGTCTGGCAGATTGTTACCAACATTTTGGAGGAACCTGCTGCCTCCACATTAAAGGCAGAAGTGCCCTCCTATTGTGGAGACTGTGGCAGATAATGTACCAGACTACACGATGTTACACCCCAGAAGACATGAGTTACTATGTTTAATACAATTATATAAGTCATCTGTACATTCTAATTTCTATTTCAATTAGTTGGGCCTCAACTGATTTTAAAAGAGGCATGTAATGCATATATGGCACATGTGCGGTGCTTGTTTTACTGGTGAGGTGCATGCCACAAAGGCACTACTATAAGAATGTTTTCTTAGTTCTTTCAGACCCAAAAAGACACAACTGTGCAAGACAAAGTGGATGAAAGTGAGAATATGAATGAGGAAATCAAGAGATAAGAGATTCAAAAAGAAATGAAGGCATGGAAGAAGAATGAAGAAATAAAGGTGTTGGGGAGGAAGATCAGGAAAAAAAGAGCAGGAAAAGGAGGTGCTAAAGAAGAAGCAAGAAAAAGGAAAGGAGAAAAAGGAGGTAAAGAAGAGAAGGTATTCAAAAAGAGGCAATATGAAGAGAAGAAAGAAATAATGAAAAGGAAAAGGGGAAGAGAAACTGTACAAGAATGAAAATGAAAGGAGAAATCAGAACAAGTGTGGAGGAGGAAAAGATGATGAACATGAAGAAACAGATAAAGGTAATGCTATCCCTGTAACAGGCTGTGGAGGCCTATAGGGTTGTGAGACGTTGAGGTTCCCACATTTTCTAGACAACCAGCTGGTCACGGATGGCAGTGAGGCTGCCAGCTCTATGAGCCAGATGCCCTATAACCCCAGGAAGATTCCTGGTACTCATTTCTGTTAGAGGCTCAGTCAACCCCAGGGCCATAGTGCAGCTGAAGGGATTAGGTCAATTGGAAAATCCAGTGACATCATCGGGAATCAAACCCACAACCTTCCAGCTTGTAGCATAGTGCCTCAAACCAACTACACTACTAAATCACTCACTTTTTAAGTCCTTTCTATATATGAACGCAAGGGTGTAAAAGGGTTAAGGTTTTCCTTAATGGTCGATATAACAGAACATGATTATATTTTATACAGGTGGCCCCTGCTATACAAGTCTTCATTAACCAAGTTCCCACATTTCTGTGGCCAAGAAACTAGGGGGGGGGGACATACATGTAAGAAGTCCCTGCACTTATGTTGTTATAAAGGATTTGCTGCATCTTATCAGACAATATTAAATGAAAAACTATGTGGAGGGAAGAAACAACCCTTGCTTCCTTCTTTAAAAAGTCAGTCATGAAAAAAATCAGTCATGGGAAAAGAGCCTCAACACCCTGAACCATGAGCCTCTGGTCTCCAGACACCTGTTATCATCTAAGATGATGAGATGGTAGTGGATAACCTAATTAAAATTTCCAGCCTTTTTTCTTCTTTCCTGACTGACATTCTTCATTTGCAAACTAATTCTTTGCCACATCTAATGCAACACACTTAAATGTCCTACACCACGTTTAATACACAAAAAAAGTGTACAGTAGGCACAATAAGCATCTACATATTATGAATTTACATGGAAAAGGAATGGCATTAATAGATGACAGATAGTGAGATTTCAAGCTCAATGATATGTCACTAAATAGGAGAAAAGCCAGACTTTCATTCCTAACCCTCTGTAGATGACAATCATAACTTTCCTCACATGCCAATGGCTTATCATCACTAGTCAAGATCAACCTCACACTGGCAGGGTCAATACTGTAAATAAAAAAAAATTATGTAACTGGTTGATTGGCCAAAAGGCTTGTATGAGCCTTTGCTGGTCTTAATGCTCTTCCTTTCTCAACTATTTGGTTACAGTATTTCTACCTATCCAAGGTTTATCACTGCATAAATGCCAACGCATTCAAGGCAAGTGTACACTTGAACATTCTGACATATAGGAGAGATCAGAAATGATTCTGGTTATCAACTGGCTCACAATTGCACTCTACATCATCTACATAATTTCAGAGAAGTTCACAAATTTGACTCAGAATGACATATTACTGTCACAAGTGTTGTTATGTCACAAACAGCATGCAATCAAGCCAGGCCAGGCACGCGCCGCCCTAAGATACCTCCTAACATCGTACGTGTCGACTAGAGCCATGAAGCCTGTTGGAAATGCAATGGCGAATGAGATCCATGCTGCCAGCTCTCCATCTGATGCTTCTGAGGCTGGAAGTGACAACAGTGGTGCAAGCTTCTCACGCCACTGGGTACACAGGTCCAGCATATCGTGAAGGACACCAGTGCTGCGATGTGCAAGAACCTACCAGCATAACGTACGACACACACATCAAATTCATTAATTCTGCAACACATCATGCAACACTGAACATAATAAATTCAAGCTTTCATCTATGGCACTTCAATGTAAGAAATAAATATCATATTTTTCATTTCATGCATCCTGTTATGTTATAATATACAATTTCTTTATTAAAACCATCACAAGACAACAACATTAAGGTCAGTGCCTAGTTTGGCACTGACCTTAATATTGTTCTGTTGTGACAGTTTTAATAAAGAAATTAAATATCATATTCATTCAACCTTGTTTTCATACAATTTTCTGTCAATAATGCAACTATTTATTTCTTCATTCACATTTACTTTCGTTATTAACACAACATGTTTCGGCCCCAAACGGCCATCCTCAGGTGTTCCATTATGCCAATCCTGCTACACTGCACTGAGTATTGTCCATTTCACAGGCAGGTAACCGAACATTTCATAATTAAAATGTTACAACTGAACTCAACTATTGTGTGTTAAAACTCTTACATGGTACAGTTCACTACATTTAAAATTAATTCAAAATCGTTAAAAGTTTTGATTATATAAAACTCCTAATTTCACCTCGTATGGGATGTCGTCCACTTGTCTTCAGTTGTTTACACTGCAGCGGCTCACCCTTTCCATATGCAAGCCCACTGTTATGTTTTGTCTAAAATTTTGTACCTTTCTTGTCCATTGTTCCCACAAGTCGCGTATGGGGTTGTCTTTGCAAGTGCAGATGTCTGCATAGCTTATTTAAGGCTTGCACCTGGTGCAAGGGCCCAATAACTTTGGTCTACCCCCTATGCATGCATTCATTCATAGCATTAATGAAAACAAGACTGTTGCTTCATGTAGCTCTTTTCACAGGTACAATTTGTGCAGGTGCGATGAATCAGGGTCCACACATCTGCTTCTGACTGTCAAACCTGAGACATGTGTCTGCAGCATTCTTTGACAGTTTCCATACACTGCCGGCGTTCTTTATTGACTCTCTACTGGCACACACTGTTACATGTAAATTGCTGCATTCTGGTCCAGTTTGGATAAATGTACAGTATATACTTGATTTAATGGACTAATTGGGAAAAGAGGGTGTCCTATATTGCTGAATGTCCGTTAAGTCCAAATGTCCATAAAATAGTGTCTGTATGAAACCAAAAATTTGTTAAATAACAAGTGATATAATTCTGAAGCACAACCCGTATATACATGAAAAATGACAAATTTCACCATTACATATCATGCATTAGAAAATCAGAATAAATAATAATAAACTACTTGTCTCTCTTTTAACAAGAAAAATAATTAAACATTATGTAGTCTGGCGAAAGACTGACATCATCTCTCAGGAGGAAGTACCGACATATCCACCGGAGAAAAACAGGGAATTACCAAAGAACTTTGTCCATTATATCCAAGATTTGTTAAATCATGGTCCGTTAAATCGATTATTTACTGTATAATTTAATTCATCAGTTTATGAATGCCCATGTCACATAGCACATGACTCACTCTGGTAAACAGCTCAGGGACCAGATGATGCAATAGGTGCAAGCAGCTATATCAGGCAGCTTTACAGTGCTCTGGTGGGTAGTACTGAATGTCCATTAGACAATTTCAATATTTTAAAAAAAGTTTAAGTATGCAAAGTTTACACTAAACTATGTCAGAAAAAAAAGAGAAATTTTAGAATGCCTATCCTCATTATGCTAACCATAATCACCTTGGTCTTGAGTTCACTGAGGTCAGAGAAAGACGTCACATAGGCATGGGCATGTGTCCCATTCACTGGGATGTTGTACAGTTTTCCAGCCAAGACATTGCTTGTTCCATCGAACCCACCTGAAAAATTACTCATGGATATTTTATGGTTCAGCATTTAACATATAGTTGCACATTTAGACAAAACACACCAGCATTACTAGAAAAGACGATTATCATCTTCTGGCATGTGATGTTGTGTAGTCTGACAATGTTTATAATGTTTCAGGATGATATGCCACTTCCATATTGAGAGTCAACTGAATATGGAAACATAACAATCCTCCAAAATGTCGATATAGACCTAGCAGACTACACAGAATGACATCCCAAAAGACAATAATCTCCTGTTCCAACACTATGCACAAAATCCTCAGTGAGGTAATATAGTTCAGTTCATGTTCGTACTATCAAAAGTACCCCTGTCTACACCCAAGACATGATTACTTTCTATGTCGTTTCACACTAAACATTCCCAGAATGGCTGCAGCGTGTCATTGGAATGCTGAGTCAGGCAAACTTATGTACCCAATCATGTTTGGACATGTTCCAACTCGCATTTACTTAAGCCACAGACCAAATGATTCGTTCCTTCCCAAAGACCAGAGGAAGTAGTATGTGTCCATGGTATATTGTTGGCAGAGAAATGAGTGACAAGAATCTGGAGTTTGGTAAAAGTGCTAGTGAAACGTCAGCTGTATTAACAGTGGCTTATAGTGAATACGCTGGGAAGAAATCAAGTGTTTTTGAACAGCATAGGTGGTTCAAGGAAGGGCAATAAGAACTGCAAGATGACCCAAGAATTGGGCAGCCAAAAACCCAAAGAATATATGCAAATGTGGACAGAGAATTAACCTTGGTGCTCTCAGATCGAAGATTTGGTGTGAGACTAACAGCAGAATTGAATATGAACAGGGAAACAGTGTGGCAGATTATTAAGGATGATTTTGGAATGAGAAACATTTCTGCAAAGATGGTGCCTCAAAACTTGACAGATGACCAGAAACACCAGCTTCAAATTTCATCTGATCTTTTACACAATGCGGAGATGTTTGATAGGGCTACCAGTGATGAAACATGGTGTTTTCAACATGACCCAGAAAAAGAAAACGCCACAGCATGCAGTGAAAAACATAGAATTCACCTCACCCAAGAAAGTACACGCCTCACTCGCGGCTTGTGTTTCTTTGATCACAAGGGGATAGTAAAAAAAAAAAAATGTAAAGCCGGCCCTTTAACAGGCCGTGAAGGCCCATAGGGGTGTGAAAGGTCGAGGCTCCCACATCTTGTAGACAGCTGGCTCATAGATGGTGGTAAGGCTGTCAGCCTAAGTGCCAGCTGCTCTTTACTCCCAGGAAAATCCCTGGTACTCATTTCTGTTACAGGCTGAATTGACCCCAGGGCCATAGTGCAGCTGGAAGGATTATGTCAGTTGAAAAATCCAGTGACCTCAATGGGATTTGATCTCACAACCTTCAGGCTTATAGCACACTGACTCAACCAACTACACTACTGTGTGCCACAAGGGGATAGCTCACTATGAATTCACTGCACAAGGACAAACTGTAAATCAACAGTGTTTTTTGGAAGTGCTGACAATATTATGGGAATTTGTTCAAAGGAACAGACCCAAACTTTGGCCTGACAAGAGGATTCTCTGCCATGACAATGCCCCAAGTGCATGATGCATTAAAAGCTCACAAGTTCCTGGCTAAGAAATCCATTACAAAAACGGACCACCCACCTTATTCACATGACTTAGCCCCTTCCATTTTATGGCTCTTTCCAAAATTAAAAAATGCCCTGAAGTGACAAAGATTTGCTGACATTCCTGACATCCAATGCAACGTGACATTACTGTGATGTATTCTGGAAAACAATTTTCAAGACTGTATCTGGCAGTGGCACCATCATCTCTTGAAGTGCATAGCTTTACAAGCAAAGTATTTCAAAGGCGAGAGCAGCTGCTAGGGCACAGGTAAGCAAATTTTGCTTTCACAGGACCATTCTGGGAATTAAATTGTCAAACCTTGTATAACAAACCACAGTGGGAACCACTGAATGTGGTCTGGTAGAAGAGACAGGTTTATGGGCTTCTCAGCAGACACATATAACATGAATTTGCTGTGCTTATCTGTTGGATTCTGCCTTATGAGGGTAAGGATCATGTCTGTGAAGAAGATATGGAAGTAAGCAACAGGAGGAGGCATATGCTTATGTTCAGACAGTTCTTGGAATTAGAAAGGCAGAGGGAGAGGTTGCTCAAGTGACAGATTTATTCTGTAGTCTTCCATCATTCAAATCACCCTCTTCGCTGTGAGACACAGGGTGAGCAACTGAGGGTGTGGCACCTTCTTCTTCACTTGTATTATCAGTGTAACTTTCCAGAATATAGTCATTATCACCATCTAAATTTTCCAACATGTCACAGCCATCTAACCTAGAGCTTGGACCAGCCATTGTGCAGTTAAAAATGGAAAATAACTATATGTAGTAAGAACTCTGAAAAATATAACAAATAATATATAACCTGAAGAAAGCAGTCTTCTGGGATGTGGCACCATGTAATGTGGTGTTAACCGACGTTTCGGAGGAACGTATCGCCTCCATCTTCAGGGTAGAAGGAAAAATAAGAAAATCCGCAAGCGAAGAGACAGTGAGAACAGGTGCAAGCAGACTAATGTTCCAAATAAACTCAGCTATATGAAAGCAGGGAAGGAAGGGGACAGGTCTACACGGGAAATCGGTGGAGAGGGAGAGGGGAAGGGTCTGGGACAGGAGCAAGGTTAGAGCAGGTATAGGATATTGTGTCAGGTGGGAGAAAGGCAAGGTTAATGGGAGGGCATTAACCCTTAAGCTGGGGGGGGGGTTGCTATGTGAGTAGATCATGGACTGTGTGGCCTTGTGGATCTGGTGTCATGTCCCCTTATTACAAAAACAAAATACTGCCAATAAACTATGATATATTATTAGTAAAATAACTAAAACCACAGACCAAGAAAGTATTCAACCAAGTGAACATGTCAGCCCAACACATTTAATTTGTTTAAAAACATATGTTTTGTAAGCAAAGGAATGCCAACTGGGTGCAAAACTAAGATACAGACCTTGGAGAATTAGGTACTGTCTTATGTTGCCACCTCTGAGCCATTTATGTAACCAAATGAGCTTGATTTGGAGCCAATAAATTGGCTGCCTGAGTGTTCTGGCCATTACCTGACGCACCAATGGATCGGCGTGCTGAGCATATAAGGGTTAAACGCACACCAACAATCTGCCTTGTTTCAAAATCAAACAAGTCTCCCATTTTCTGATTCTTTCACGTGGACTGTCACGCAACACAATTACTACTGCACTGACACAAGCATCACAAAGTGTAAACAAACAGAAGAACATTCAGTGTTGCCAACTGAAGTTCTTTCAAAGTAGTCAATGCAAACAAATTTCATTCTTCAACTTCTTAGTGTTTCCATTATTTTGATCACCCCCTATACGTATATTCACGTCCTCAGAAAGGTTACAGTACATATTTTCACTAGGCAGATAAGTTTCTAAGCAATTTAATAATGCAATCTCAGCTTAAAAAAGGTATAGTTGTCCTTGTGCATAATTAAGAAGGGCACCATGAATATGTATGGGAGGGGTGGATGTATAGATCCACATATTCTTGACCTTGGCATTAGTTGGGGTGAGTGGTCGGCTTCATGCCCCAGCTGCTTTACCCCCGGGGGAAGAGCCCCTGGACCCACTGAACAGGAGGTTGGATAGGCCCCAGAGCCAGTCTGGACAATGTGGAGAGGGCAAAAATCTTGCCCTCACTGGGACTCAAACTCTGACCCCTTGTCTGCCCAGCCTGTAGCTAGTCACTATAACGACTCCACTATTCCAGCTCTGCAATCTCAGCTAAATAGGCTATTTAGTGTTGAATAAGATAAAGGATGGCCATGTACAGTGAAATGGAAGCATTGGGGAGGATGTAGATATGGTCTATTTTAAAGCAGCATCCCAGCATTCACTTGGAAGGACTAAACCCATGGAAAACTTTGCTGTGCCTCTGCCCAGCATCTCCCAAATGCATACAAGGTATCTTATCACTGAGCTTATCATCTTGCTAGTACCCACCTGCCTATTATATCTCCCTGGTACAGTGTTCCCACTTCAGCCAGCTCAATAGTTAACATTCCTAAAACATATTTCCCTAAAATAAATTTTTTAGTATTTGGAGGGGACAAAGTCATGCTGAAATCAGTTAACATTTCTTTTACAATGTTTCCTGTCTGCATACATAACCATGGCTACGTTCATATTCAAATGTAAATCAGGAACAGTACTGATATGTCATGGAAGTCCATATATTAACTACTTTGTTCCCATATTTCTATCTTTATATTTATGACCACATAATGTACAGAGGTTAAGACTGAAGATGTGGGAAACTGAAACATCTTAAATGGAACATTCTGATATTCTAAGAAATCAATTAAGTTAAATTAAATTAACATGACAATATAAAATGTTATGGCAAGCATTAAATGGATAAAGGTTTCAGGCATCCCCAGTGTCATTCTGAACATGGCTGTAAACAGAAAAGTTTCTAAAGCACCCTGCCATCCATTTCACAGTTAATCACTTTACTAACTGAGCTAGCAAAACTCCCCAACATTTCAGTAAATTGAGGAGAGTCTCACAACTTGCCTGACCTCAAAAGAAGAGAAAAGTTCTGCACCGTGAATACAATAATAGAACCTTGTGCCACTGATCGTGTGGTGCAGTAATTACTGCAGTATGGGAATGGTATAACATGAAGGGTTGAAGACTGCAGTGTTGTGTCTCTACGTACCAGTCAGACTGACTAGCGTCAAGCTCCTGCAAAGTACAAGGTGCCCCACATACAAGTGTTCATGTGTCTTTAAAACATTTAACAGCTAGCTATCAAGTTGGCTAGTGTAGCACTAATACTCTAGGCTTGTATCTGAGAGGTATAAGTTTGAATCTTGGTTGGTAAACCAATTAACCTGAGTTATATTTTAGGCGTTTCCTCAGCCCCTCCAAGCAAATTGTTGGATAGTATCTTGATTAGG